ATTGCTCATGCTTATTATTTTTCCCTTTCTTTGCATGTACACTTTGGAGCAAATGGAGTCTTTCTTATCTTCTCTTTCTTTTTACGATTCTTTTATTTAATTTCTTGATGTCTTCCGATTTATTTGTATTTGTGTTAATCTCACGCTTAACATGGGTTTGAAGATTTAATCTATTTAATTTTTTAGGACCTCTTCTTTAGCTAGCAAACAGAGTACCTATTTTATCATATAGTGTTTACCTCTACTTCTGACACTTCAAAACAGTAATTTGACGCCTTTCACAAGTCGTTAAAATGAAGTCTTTCAAAAGATCCCGTTAACATCCTTTCTAACATCATTAAGTTGAGATTTTATAAAATTAATATGTTTAGATTCAGTCGAGTGTTTTCTAAAAAGTCCAATTGAAAATTGCTTTTCTTTTAACAAGTAGGAAGACTTGTCCCCAAGCGTTCTTCCTTTGAGAATGATTTTAAATTATTGCTATCATGTCAAAACTCAAAACTGATCTATTAAATATTCTCCTCAAAATCATCAGATTTTTTAATGGACTTGAATATTTTCCTTAAGGTATAAGTAGCTAAGTTCTAAATACTTTAGCTATACATTAATACTTTAGCATATTTTCTATCGAGTTACAGTTAGCTATACATTAATACTTTAGCATAATTTAGGTCTAAGATATATTCTATTGAGTTACAGTTAGCTATACATTAATACTTTAGCATAATGTTTTTTTATTAATTAACCTAAGTTTGGCCGGTTAATCGTATTTAATGGATCATATAGAGTGCTTAATACCTTCTCTATAAGATTAATTAGGATCCTTACCAATAATCTAAAGGTTAAGTAACCATAAAACAGAGTTAACTTTAAGTATTATTTAGCTAAAATTGGTGTCTTAATTCACTTTTAAAATAATTAGATGGCGACTCTCTTTTTAATTAATTAAACCTCTAGAATTTTCAATAGGTTATACTCTAATTTGACGGTTAAATTGGGACATAACTCTTTTTAGTATAGTATATATAGCGGATTGTGGGTTAAGTAATGGGGTACTCTAATCTTGAAACTATGTCAGAGTTATCAATGAAGTTTATTTTATCTTATTTTACTAAACAGTGTTCTGGCAAAAGTTCTGTTTATTGGTACAAGATATGTGAACTTAATATTACTTAAGATCCTCTTCATCCTTTGGTTACTTTTATGGTTTTATGTTCACACTTCAGAAAATGAAATCCAGAAAATATGATTTTACTACAACTATTAAGTTTTGTAGCAGTAAATGTGATAAGGAGGTTACTACGATTACGCTCGATTCAAAGCAAGTCAGGTCGACTATTTTGATTTATATAACTATGTTGTTCCAAAATAAGAGTAATTAACCTTGAGGTCGAGTCGCATTTGAGAAGATGTACTGAACCTTATATATGGTCACTCATACTCTGATCCTTACTCCAACTTCTTATTTCATGAGCAATTCCCTACTGTTTTCCGAAAGGATTTAAGCGCACAATCTCGAAATTTAGGGGGCCTACATTGTAAAAGAAAACTTTGTTTTTTAACTACCAAATATGTAACCACTAATCATAAGACAGAACAAATGAGGTTTGCTTAGTTGGTAAAATATTTGTTCGAGTCACGCTAGAGGTTAAGTGTGAAAATCCTCCTAAATTGGGAAGGAAATTTAAAAAAAAAAAAATCATAAGACAGTGTACTGCAGACCTCTTCAAGTTTCCAAGGTGGTTTATAAACAAACAATTAGATAATGGATCATTGCCCCCTATATTTTTGTTAAATACTAAGAAATTATACATATAGGCAGAATATATAGACAGCTCCCTTGGCTTGTTCGGGGTTTTCATTTGAAAACCTTAACTAAGTAACGGTCCGATCTATTGAACATCTTTAGTTGTCGAAAAATGAGTCTATTAAACACGTTTGATGACGCGGCAGAGGGCATGTCTCCCAACTGATCAACTTGAGCGCGTATTGCTGGAAATATTAATTACGACCTTCTTCTTTCCCAACTTTTCTAGATTCCGCCTGCCATCGTAATGTAGAATTCCGATCATCTTTTTCAACCCAACTCTGATTTTTTTTTTTTGTTGTTGTCTCAAATACTTCTTAAAAGAAAAATGATTTGCCCTACAAATCTGAATTTTTACTTTAAGAGGCCACAAGTTATTCTTCTTCTTTTACATTGACTTTTTTTCTTTGATGTTGTCTTTCTCTCATTGTCTTATTTCCATGTCATCATCGATTAGCATTCACGCATTTTAGTTTATGTTTACCCTAAAAAATAGATAACAATTAAAGTTGTTTGTGGTTTTAAAGATACGTGGATTAAATCGATACAAACGATAAATTGCGTATAATTAAACGGATAACGGAGGAGATAGATTATCAAACCACTTGAGGAGGGTAATTCCGGACTTAACAACAGTCTTAATGAAATATCCGCCCTCGATCCGGACTCACAATGACCAAGCACTGATGAACAAGAACTAGAACTTTGAATAACAGAGAAAATAATAGTATATTGCCTTGATAAGCGCATTACAGTATCTCCAATGAATAAACAGACCCACATTTATATAGTAAGGGAGTTTTACCCTAAGTATAATTCTATGAAAGTTAAATCTTCTGATTAACCAATCACTGGTTCTATGACGATACATGCCGAGATCCACGCTGTGATATCCGGCTGGTCACAGATATCACGGTCTTTTGTTGGTCGTGCTCAGTTACCTGGTAGTGTTTGCCGAGGCCTTTGGGATTCAAACCGAACTCGGGGTCATGGCCCTGATACTTTCGAGGTAGGGCGCTTTGCCCGGACCCCGGCTCGAGGGGTTCCTGGTCTCGATTTTGGTTCCCTGCCGCTGCGTCTCTTGCTCTATTTGCTTCATCGGAAGATGAGGCATCTCATGCGCTCGGTTTTACCCGTATACAGATAGTCCCCTCATTTCTCGGAGAGTATATTTACGGAAATGGCAAGAAATGACATGAGCACCTCGATTCCTTCCCTAACACGCCATAGGAGAAACGACCAAAGATTCGAAATGTCCGGTCATATGTGTCATAATGACTTCAAATACGTGTCAGCCGTCGGCATGACGTCCTTGGATACGAAACGGCACGAAGCCCCTATAAATACTCCCCTATTTCGTTTATTTTTTACTTTTGACCAAGCTTTTTCCCTCGTACCTTCAGGATATCACTGCCTCTCTTCCAACCCTAACATTTTTACCTCCGTTCTTCAAGAGTTTTCAGCAAATTGCAAGTTTTCGTTTATCTATTACCCGAACCAGCACGTTTGATTTTCTCAGCAAGCTTTTGTCCTTCATCTCCTAATCTTCCTTTTCACTTATTTTAACTTAGATAACAATGGCGAAGACTTCTAACACTGTTCCCCAAAAAGTTATTACTTCCTCTTCAAAGCCGACCGCCGAAGTTGAGGAGAACGCTCCCGATGTGGTTGACCTTGAGAGGTCTGCTCCGAGCATGGCTACCGATGAACCGACAGCCGAACCTCCCTTGAAAATATTCGTCCCCAAGGGTGTTTGGTCATTGACGACTTTAAGGTCGAAAACCTTCATCGATGCAAGGCCGATGCGAGGCGGTATCCCGGTACATTTGCTCTATCACCGAGGCCTTTCTCCCTGCGGTTCGCAAGGACTGTGGCTGGGCGGATAAGGACATAGTAATCCCCGGGCCCGATGACAACATTACTACCTTTGTGGAGGGGTATCTGAGTGTTTATACTTACCCCTTCACACTGGGCCCGGTTGTTCTGGATTTCTGTTGGAGGTATGAAGTGTGCCTCGGTCAGATCCACCCATCACTGTGGAGGATCATAATCCTTCTCCGATTCTTCATGAATAAAATCGACTCATGCTTCTTCACCATCGATCATCTACTCCGCCTATAAAGTCCACGAATCTTCCAGGGGGACTGATAAAGCTCGTGCGACGGGCCAGCAAAGCCCCATTTTCAAGCATCAACGAGGACCGTGATCGGGTTTGGCAGGGACGCTTTGTCCGGGTTAGGACCGCCGACCTGATACCTACCGAATTTAGGCCATTCCCCGAGAAGTAGAATGTAGCATATAAGTGTCCTTTTCTTTTAGATATCGATTTCACGTTTTACCTCCCTTTTCCTCATCAGTATTTGATGTGGTGCAGCCCTTGCTCGAGTCCCAAATGCCATTCCTCGGCTCAAGGAGTGGATCGGGGGCCGCTCATGGCGCGAGCTATCTAAGGGCCGCTGGGAGGCCCGTTCCCACAGTAAGATTTCTCTTCCTGAATAAGTAGCACTAGACTTTCTTTTTCAGCACTATGTTCTCATTCTTTCTCTTCTCTTTTTGCAGGCTTGCGTAAGACCATTGAGTTTAGGCCCTTAGTAGGGGGCGAAGACCTGCCTGCTGATTCTTCTTCTTCAGGGCAGCCCGGGGCCGCATCAGAAGAGAAGAAAAGAAGGAGGGCTCCTAGTTCCTCGAGCTCGGAGAAAAAGAAACCAAGGAGAAGGTTGGCTCGTAAGCCAAAAGAAAGTTCCAGCTCTCGAGTTCCTGACTTGGACTCGCTTTACCGGCTCACGGATGAGCCCGAGAAGGACGATCTTTTCGTGGCCTGTGAGCCGTCCGTTCCCAAGGAGCACGTGGAAATTGAGGGGGAAACAACAGAGGCTAATCCCCCTCAAGTTCAAGAGGCTAGTACAAAAGTGAGGGCCGAGACTTCTCGAGACACCGACTCCGCCCCGCCTAGTGTTACAGAAATTTCGGGGTCACCTTTGTTTACAGAGTCCATGTTCGATGAAGCCCGGGCGACGAAGGGGCTAATGGCACGGATGATCCCCTCCGTTGCTTTTTTGATGGCGTGGACTCAACCGCTCTAGAAGACTTCTCCGGGTTGGGTGATTTAGAGGTGTCGATGAAAAGCTCATCCTCGGAGGTCAGTGGGCCAAACTCGAGCCCAAAGTTGATCAATCGGTTCCCCGCCCCGAGCATGGATCGTAGCCAGAAGCGGTCAGTTATCATCACCGTCCCGGAGGATACTCGGGTTCTTTCCATCCCTGTCGGAACAGCTAGCTACCTCCGGTGCCTGAGAACCAAAAATGATTAGCAAAAATGAACGAGGTGGATGCGCCGTGTTTGTTCAACGAAACACAGTAGGCCCTGAACTGAGTAGGGCGTCATTACACTCTTTTGTCTTCAAATTTAATTTTTGATAGCTTTCATGCCTTCTCCTTTTCATATCTTTGCAGGCCTCGGTACTCCATCATGAAGCCTTTCTCCGGTACCGAGCTGAGGTTAACCAGCTCGAGGCTGAGGTCAAGGAGCTTGCTGAGAAAAGGGGCATGTATAAGCTTCTCAGCGAGCAACGCGAAAAAGAAGTCAAGAATCTCCAGGCTGAGTTAGACGCGTCTCAGAAGGAACATGCCGACCTAGTGGAACATGTAAAGATCTTTAAAGTTAGAAATGACAAGTTAGATATGGCGACTAACGGTCAAAACTCGCAGGTTCAGCAGAAGGTTGACAAGATTGACCAACTTCAGGCCGAGATGGACGAGGTCAAGGCCATGGCCGAAGAGGGGGAGGAAAAAATGGACCGATTGGCTTCGAAGAAGGAGACTGCCCAGGAGCAGCTGGCCTCGGTGGAGGTCCAACTTCGAGTGGTGAGGGAGAAATCCGAGGCCCGGGCCCAAAAAATTGAAGATTTCCAGTCTCAACTGGGCTCGACTATGTCACGCCCTAATCTCAGGGAGCGCGACCGATGCTCAACCAAGATAATCCGGCCGAGCAAGCCTGTACAATACCTTCTACCCGAACTCACTCGTGAATAAAGGAAGGATCCATTTTATTAATTAGACAATGGGAAGGATCATGTGAGCAATACCAATTCCTTATCATTAGTTACATCATTTATAAAGTTCAAAATACAAACACTTTCAGAGTTTGAAGTGGAACGTGTGATACAAATACAATATTACTAGTTTGACTTCCCCAACACCAACATACCACATACACTATGTCTATGAAGTCTCTAATAGATATAAAAGAGTACAATGATAATGCCGGTAACAAGGCCCCGGCTATACCTCCAAACATAATACACAAGGAACAAAAGATATATGACCCCGATATGAAGTGTAGCTCACCAAGTCAGTTGGGAAGAGGGCGTACCGCTATCAATGATCAAAGCCGCCTACTGTGGAACCACCTGCATCCATTAAAGATGCAGCGCCCCCCGGAAAAAGGGACGTTAGTAATATAGAATAGTAGTAGTATGAATGACTAAACACCCTCTCAATAGAACGAATGATAACACAAGGAAGGACAATCATAAAATCAATGGGAGCCTCAAACAATGCCAAAACATCAAGTTAGGAGCAAGACAAGTTTTCAAGTAAATTTCCATATTTTAGGTTGGGAGATCTTAGCACCGATATACCACCGCGATCTTTGCACGGATTCTGATCACGGCCCGGTCGGCTAGGCCGTCTCACCCAAAGACATCAACCACAGTCATAATCATTATCTCAATCTCAATCATTGTTTTAATTTTAATCTCAAGCACAATCACCACCATGTGTGCGGCATGGCATCCGATCACGACCCGACCGGCCAAGCCGTCTCACCACAATACCGTGTGGATCGACATCACCCTTTTCTAGCAATCATCTCATCCCAATAAAGGGGAATATTCTCATCACATCAATATCATCCCAATAAAGGGGTGTAATCACAATTCACTCCTATACCGGCACGTGTAGTTTCGGGGTTAGGTTATTTCAACCCACCCTTCCTCGGTGACTAACGATACTCCCAGGGTGTTTATTTATTTAAAGGATTGATAACTCATTTAATCATCTTTTATATATCATTCATTTCATTGGCACCAATGGCCATAACACAATGTCACTCTTGGCACGTTGGCCGTATTTCATATCTCATGTTCATCTCTTTCACTTTCAAACATCATCACGGATCATCAACAACAAAGCATTTCTATTTGAGACTTTAAGTCCACATATGAGTAAATAATAATGTTAAGCACATTGAGACTTCTTACACAATTTGGCATAATAGCTTTCATTTGAATCACGACTTGAAGTTATAACATTTAGATATGCAACCCATGCTTCGGCACATTTTCAAATAGAACATAATATAACAAGAACATTTGGAATACATATTGAACATATATATTTTTACACAAGGCTTATTCGGAATAATCAATTAATAGTGAACAACTCGGGACTTACAAGGACATTGTGGGGTTTAATTCTAAAAGAGAATTTTATCTAACATACCTCACCTCGAGCTTTTTAAATTACTACGATGTTCCGGAATTCTTAGCCACTTCGATCTATTTAGAGATATAGCAAAATTGAACACAAATTAGGAAGGAGTTCATAGTTCCAGCTCATTGGAGCATTTTATCAAATACTAGGTGTACATTAAGGTTTCAAGGTCCTCCTACGGTGGATTCCTTCATCCCCAACCCAATATCTACCCTTTTCTAGATCAACAACCTTCCTACAACTTTGTTGGTACATGCATGCATAGATAACACCCCTACACCTAAGAACTACACTCCCTATTATCCATCTTCTACCCCCAAACTCGAAATTGATGACTAGGGTATGTAACCTTAACTCTTGGATGAAGACTTTGTGACTTTTTCTTGTGAATTCTTCAAAACTTGAGCAAGGATTGGTAAGAAATGACCTTAGGAACTTCCCCTCTCACTCTAGACCACTCCCCTCTCTCTAAATATCAGTTAGGACCAGCCAAAATAACCCACAAATTATTTTTATGAAAATGGGATCGGGTGAAATTTTCCAAACTTAAACTCTATGAAGTCGGGTCTGCGGTCGCAGATCGGACCGCAAAATAGGTATGCGGGGCAAAGGGGGACGCAGAAAAGGGGTCCCAAAACTGGGCTGTTCGGGTTAGGTCTGCGACAGGTCTGTGGTCCGCAGACAAGTTCTGCGGTCACATAATGGACCGCAGAACCTCCTTCCAAAATTTCTCATGTTGGCTTCTGCGACGAATGTGCGACTCGCGAAACGATTATGCGGCCACACAATTGACCGCAAAATATCATCCCAAATTTGCCCAGTTCCCTGCTTCACTCTACGGTGGATCTGCGGTCTGCAGATCAGTTTTGCGACCGCAGAATGGATCGCAGAAATGCCATACTCTGCCAAAAACTTTCTTCTACTCCCCCATGTGTTATTCAACCCAAAAAGTCTGTAGTGCGGCTCGCAAGCTCGCCACGAAGAATATCTACAATCATCAACACATAAGTCTACCTTGGCACCATGAAACCTCGAGTTTTAGGTAAAATTTTACGGGGCCTTATAGACTATCACTGAAAGGGATACCCTTGTCAAGGAGCTGAAAATAGCCAAGTCAGTGACGGAAACAACCAGGGCCGATGCTGTATAGATGGTGGCTCAGTACAGAGTTGATGCTGAGGCGGCCCAGGACCGACTGAAAGTCACTGTTAAATACGTGAAGTGGCAGTCCCGAAGAGAGGCACTCGAGGAGGTCCATGCTCGGGGTTTCGACCTTTCGGTCGAGATCGAAGATGCTAAAAGGCTCGAGGCCGAGGCCGAGGCCAAGAAGCTGGTTGACCCCGAGTACAAGGAAAGCTCTGAGGACTCCAGTGAACCCGAGGGCTGAGACGAGCCCGATGGCCTCGATGACGAGGCTGGCTCCGGTGGAGATCAGGCTTATGTGCCTTAGAGATTTTTCTTTNATATATATATATATATAAGGCTTTCCTTTGGCACTTTTCGAGTTAGTTTCTTTGGTTTCTTCTTCTTTATGATTGCAAATATTTCCAATGCATTAGCATGAAATAAAACATAGTAATAGGGTCTTGTTCGGAGGTTCAAACAAGGCTCGTTCTCGATGTAATTTTGTTTGAAACTCGTGGGGCTTGGTATGACTGGAAGCTTTCCCCAAAGTTCATACTTAAATGTTTTTAAATTAAAGTTTTGCCGAGGGTAGCCTTTGAACTGGTTTGGAATTTATGAAGGCCTTATGTTCTGATTACGGGCCTCGGATGTCTCCGAGCCATTTCTAGGATGGCCGTAGACTTTTAAGTTTGGGTATTTCCTAATAGGCTTTGTACCCTCGGGCTTCGATATCTGAGTCATCCGGGCTTGCTTAGGACGACAGTCCCCGAATGGGGGTGATCTCTTGGATTCGGATAGAGGTGGTCCTTGGGCTCAATATCTATCCTTAAGGAATAAAATGTAATAGTCTTAAGGGACAAGATATGTATCTGCAAGGTAGAAACATTCTTTTATTTATGTGTGCAACATACAAGATTGCAAATATGTACAAGCTTCGAGTTATGGCTTAAGTGTTCTATGTGGGCACGGTTCATTTGACCGTTTGGCCCTTATAATAAATCCTATCCATCGAGCCCAGACTGTTCAAGTACAAAGTTTCCTTCCTTCCTAAAATCATTATCCGAGGTGATGGCCCCCAGTATTCAAGGTCGATCATTGAGAGGGCTTGGATATTGTTGATGCGACCCTCGACTCCGGCTCATAACCGGTCTTCAATTCTAAGTTAGCACGATCTACTGTTATCTCGTTAAAAACCATGCCGGAAAACCCATTTGGGACAAAACCGGTTCAAGGAACAAAGAGTGCAACTCCTGCTTTCGGGCCTCATAGCTGCATCATTCTTTGGCTGTTACCTGCAAGTGTTAGTCCAATTCATAATATATGTAAAGAAAAGAATAGATGGGGTCGTACCTTAGCAGTAATATCGTTTTAAGTGGGTTATGTTCCAGTTGTTCGGTAGTCACCCACCGTTCCCTGCTTTAAGTTTGTATGATCCTTTGTCGGTAATCTTGATAATTCGATATGGACCTTCCCAATTCGGTCCCAGCTTCCCCTCATTAGAGTTCCGGGAGTTCAGTGTCACCTTTCTTAACACCAAGTTTCTGATATTGAAGTGTCAGAGGTTGGCTCTTTGGTTGTAATACCTTTCTATCCGTTGTTTTTGGGCGGCTAACCGGACGAGGGCAGCCTCATGCCTCTCGTCCAATAATTCTAGGCTCGTGCTCACGGCCTCATCATTTGACTCTTCGGTCGCATATCAGAACCTGAAACTCGGTTCTCCTACTTCAATCGGTATTAGCACTTCGGCACCGTAGACCAGCGAGAATGGGGTGGCCCCAGTACTAGATTTTGAGGTCGTACTATATGCCCACAGTATTTCGGGCAAAATTTCTTTCCATTTTCCTTTGGCGTCGGTCAATCTCTTCTTAAGGTTTAGGAGTATGGTCTTGTTCGTAGACTCCGCCTGCCCATTCACACTAGAGTGATAGGGTATTGATAAGACCCTTTTGATCTTATGGTCCTCGAAAAATTTGCTCACCTTACTACCGATGAACTGCTTCCCGTTGTCGCATACGATCTCGCCGGCATTCTGAACCAGCATATTATGTGGTCCCAAATAAAATCAATAACTTTTTTCTCCCTGACTTTCTCAAATGTTTGGGATTCGACCCATTTAGAAAATTAGTCAGTCATAAATAATATAAATTGAGCCTTACATGGTGCCCATGGCAGGGGACCAACGATGTCCATCCCCCATTTCATGAATGGACAAGGTGACAGGACGGAATGCAATAGCTCCCAGGGCTGATGGATCATCGGTGTGTGCCTATGACATCCGTCGCACTTTCGTACAAACTCCTTCGCATCTTTTCCCATGTCGATCTAGTAGTAGTCGGCTCTGCTTATCTTAAGAACCAATGATGCGACACCCGAATGGTTCCCGCAGGTGCTATCATGAACTTCCCTTAAGACAT